TTTATGATGCACACTTGAATTCTCATTATTTCTTTCCTAAAATTAAACTATAAAGGGTTTTTTTTTGAAGAAACATAAATTATTGGGCGGCACTGCGCGACAACTATCACTGCTGTTGTGTTGTAGGTTAAACACGCGACTTTGTCGATGGCTCTCTATTTTCATTCGTTTCGATGGTAAATTAATATCTGCTCAGGACGTACGATGAGTATATATACTTGAAGACGTAGCTGAGTAATTAAAGCTGAACTCGCATGATATATAAATGAGATGGAAATAACGAAGTAATTTTAAGTTCAGAATTTATCAAATTGCTTCTAATCAACTCTACCAGGAAAGAACCATAGACAATTTAGCTTGCGGTAAATTTTACTGGGGCTAATCCGGCATATCCATTGACTAGTAACCTCAATACTTCCAAGAAAAAGCAGAACACACCACAGAGAACCCCGTGAACATAAAATGTTTTAATTTTTTTCCGAGTTTTGAAACTTACCTCAGAACTGCTATTTGTCCTCAGCGTTGGCTGATCCCGTGAGCTGACACTTTTTTCGACACGTTTCTTTCTTGTTGATGTTCCCACATCCTTCACTTCATGCTGCTTTTCTAAAATTGTGAAGATCCCTGTACAATCAGCAGTTGCTTTCCATACCCAAAATCAGAAAAAAATATGCCGCGTTAATTTTAGAAAGCTGATAGCTAACAAATCTGCCGACAACTTCTTCACGCGACAAAAAAAGGAACGCCAAACTTTCATATGGTAAAAAGGAACACCAAAAACCTGACCACTAGGCGTAACAGCATTGGTCAAAACCAAAACAAAATAAAGATGGCATGGCTATCGATTACACACTACTGAAAATGGTGGTGAACTAGCAGCCGTTTCAAGCATAAAGCAGTGCAGCTAACTAAACGGGTGTAAAGGTTACCGGTTTAATGAATATTAAAGATCCACATTCAATCTCGTGCTGGAGACTTATTGTTTTCTGCCTGGGATAGACGTAACTGTCAAATTCTGCAATCTTGCCGTTGTAACAAAATTTCATTTCCCGTAATTTAAGACGGCATTATGGGGGTATTCCTGAGAATGCGCCAGGCATCAACCAAGAAACACTTTTGTTCCCTCTCATTTCTACCTCTTTTCCTCATCCTACTTTTGTCCCTTCCCTCCATTTATCGCCCTGAATGCCTTTAATTGTAACGATAGAAAACGATATCTGAATTAATCGAACAACCTAGCAGGGCTCGTCTTCGTTTGACAACGGTTTTAACAACATGCTCAACAACATGTGATGGCGTTTCATCTTCAACGACTGACTGCTCTTGCTTCCCACCTGCTGGCGATTCCTTATTGACAACCTGATAAATGGCAAGTTTCATAGAGGCGGACACTAAGCAAAATTATTGGTTTGCATAAGAAATGAAGAAATAAATTTTAATGATGATGGTGAAACCGTAAAGATGTGCATCATGACTCCCTCCTAGGTAGGTTTTTACGGGTAAGCTGATAACTCGCGAAACAGAAAAGCTAGAGAGCTGAAACTTTGTGGGAATGTTCCCCGTCCAAGTAGGTACTAATGAGCTCAAATCCAGCCCCGGTTAGGCGTAGTGCCCGCGTACGGGCCCCCCAAAATTTTTCCCGCGTAAATTCATAACTCGGGGTTCTGAGATGCTGGCGTACGGGCCCCCCAAAATTTTTCCCGCGTAAATTCATAACTCGGGGTTCTGAGAAGCTAGAGAGCTGAAATTTTAGGGGGGTGTTCCCTGTCTAAGTGGGTATCAACGAGTTCAAACCCTGCCCGCGGGTAAGCGTGGAACCTACGTACAGGCCCGTGAAGGTTCCTTCCGGGTAAGTTACTTGCTCGAGAACGTGAGAAGCTAGAAG